TTGTTGTCATGGTTTGTAGGTTGAAGTACTTAAAGCAGTGTATTGTCATGGTTTGTAGGTTGAAGTACTTAAAGCAGTGTGTTGTTGTCATGGTTTGTAGGTTGAAGTACTTAAAGCAGTGTATTGTTGTCATGGTTTGTAGGTTGAAGTATTTAAAGCAGTGAATTGTTGTCATGGTTTGTAGGTTGAAGTACTTAAAGCAGTGTATTGTTGTCATGGTTTGTGGGTTGAAGTACTTAAAACAGTGTATTGTTGTCATGGTTTGTGGGTTGAAGTACTTAAAACAGTGTATTGTTGTCATGGTTTGTGGGTTGAAGTACTTAAAGCAGTGAATTGTTGTCATGATTACATACTATTGCCAGTTTTGCAACTTCAGTTGTAACAAGTTTTTAAGAAGTATGGCAAGGTAAAAAACTTATAACATCTTGACAAATTGTTGATAGATCCACCCTTTATAATGTGGATGTTAGATTCCAAAACAGAAATTCAATTGAAGGTTCATCAGGATATTTGGCAGGTGTCTGGTCAAATTAGGTTGCTAAAATTCTATTTTCTTCAACCATCTTTCTGACTAAAACTGCTGTTAGTTTGGAAATATGACTGGAATCCTATGAACTTTTTAACTTGTGAATCTTCATCAGATTCTAAATTTTATTATCCTGTTTGCTGTATCAGTAGATATGTCCAGCTTCATCATGGTGAATTTTGGGGTTGGAAGGTTCTCTTTCATAATCATAGCCTTTATTTTGAGGATGGTGATGTTTCAGAGCTATTTGTTTTTTTAAATGCTGTGATGTGTGAGTTTCTCTGCTTCCATGGATAATCATAAAGTCTCCTTTCTTTCAAATATGCCTCATTTTGCTTTATTGCAGTGAATAATCTTGCTATATATTATATCATTCAAACATGACACTAGTTGTGGTACTACTGCACTGTTAAATGGTCAGAAGTGTGCTGTGAACCAAATATAAAAGAGGATAAACATGTCGTTTACCACTCTATTGAAATTCAAACAGAGTGCATTAACCACCGTTATTATGGTGTTGGATATTTTTAATCCCTACATAACAGTTGGTTATACTCTTGCTGATGTGAATTTATAACCTTCATTTCTTCATTGTTTTCATCTAGGTTTGAATGAAAAGAATCGCCAGAGACTAAATGATCTCATCTTAAACGGGTATGTACTATTCAAATTATCAGAGCTACTTAATTCCTAAGCTGTGTTCATTTATTCTCATGAATTCAGGATAATTCAATTAGCTTTTATATTTACTAATAGAAAGAATCTCAACAAGCCTAATCTGTTTTTTTATCTTGATTTTAATTTCTATACTAGGCCAGTTCTGGATAATTTCACTCCATGTTTTATAATGAAGTTATATACATATATCTGTTTGTATGTCTGTACATTTTTGTTATGACTTGTATTAGTGTGCAAGGAAGTCGCATGCTTTATTAACAAGCATTTTCTCATAATTGTTTTGGCTGCAAAGTCTGTAATACCAAATGAGCTATTATGGACGTGGAATCCAGTAGTCGTCATAATATATATATTAGTCATCAGCATTACCTTCTTGAAAAGAAAGACCAGGTGTCTCATAATACAGGGTGATAAAATATTGGAATACAAAACATGTTCTTAAAACTGTTTTTTTTTTAAACAGATAATTTTCATTTTATTATGGGATTGTTTCAGCAAGTGTTAGAACAAATTCTATGAAATTGAAAACAATCTTACGTTTAGTTTTTTAAGATGTATTGAAGAGACTTTTTTTGGGGGTAACAAGTAATATTTTATTTTATTAGAGTAACCTTTGTGAAATTTAAAGGAAAGAAACTACGCATCAAAACACCCGTGTGTCGGGCCCTGAAGAAGATTAATAATGTGGAAGGTAAGTGAACAATTATTCTAACACAGGAGCTAGAGACGGGCCCTGAAGAAGATTAATAATGTGGAAGGTAAGTGAACAATTATTCTAACACAGGAACTAGAGACGGGCCCTGAAGAAGATTAAATATGTGGAAGGTAAGTGAACAATTATTCTAACACAGGAACTGGAGTTATTAAAAAATGTAGTAGAGACGGGCCCTGAAGAAGATTAATAATGTGGAAGGTAGGTGAACAATTATTCTAACACAGGAACTGGAGTTATTAAAAAATGTAGTAGAGACGGGCCCTGAAGAAGATTAATAATGTGGAAGGTAAGTGAACAGTTATTCTAACACAGGAACTGGAGTTATTAAAAAATGTAGTAGAGACGGGCCCTGAAGAAGATTAATAATGTGGAAGGTAGGTGAACAATTATTCTAACACAGGAACTAGAGTTATTAAAAAATGTAGTAGAAATATTTAGTGAAGGGTGTGTGAGACTTTAGTTTCAGGATAAATCACAGAAATATCTCACTATAACATTACTCAGCTTTTAAAGAAAGTTCTTCCTCAATAATAGAACTTCATTCAGAAATGACGTGAATGACTTGTATATCAAATTTCATGGTACAGGATTTGTTTTGGAAAATAATATTTTTTATTCAATGTTTTTCTGCCTGGTAAAAACTTATGATCAAATGTCGGTCTTGAAGCAGATTTGAATCTTTAATATGTCTCTTGTATAATGTTTTTGTTAAGATTAAAGAAATTGTTACTGGTCAACAAACATTTAAATCATTCTTCTTGAACTCATGCTAAAATTTATATTGGTTTGAATTTGTCATTTTTCTGAGAAGTCTGTTATATATGTACATATATATGATGTTAGGATCATTCAATAGATAGCAAGTTTCAGTATGATAATTCTACTGGTTGACAAGTGTGTGTAACTCTGTTTTTCTCTATCTTTAACTTTAGTGAAGATGAGATCTTGTAAATTTAGGTATCATAAACAGAATTTACCAATTAATAGTTACTTTAAAGAAATATTGTGATGCCCCCCAAAATTGTTGTTTCTTGTTTGAGTTATACAGAGGGTTATCTGCAGGTTGTAATGCCCCCAGACATAATTTATTGTTATGTAAGTTGTATAGGGGAATTATTTGTTTATTGTAGTGTCCTCAAACACTGCTGATTCTTGTTTGAGCTATACAGAGGGTTATCTGCAGGTTGTAGTGCCCCCAGACATAATTTATTGTTATGTAAGTTGTATAGGGGAATTATTTGTTTATTGTAGTGTCCTCAAACACTGCTGATTCTTGTTTGAGCTATACAGAGGGTTATCTGCAGGTTGTAGTGCTCCCAGACAATGCTGATTTCTATTTGAGTTTGGTTATTTGGACTTTATGAGAACAGTACTTTGGAGTCTTATGTTTTTTGTGGAGTTGTTAGGCCAGTGATGGATTCTAAAACAGACAGTTATTCAAAGATTGGAGTCTTATGTTTTTTGTGGAGTTGTTAGGCCAATGGTGGATTCTAAACCAGACAATTATTCAAAGATTGGAGTCTTATGTTTTTTGTGGAGTTGTTAGGCCAATGGTGGATTCCAAAACTGACAATTATTCAAAGATTGGAGTCTGATGTTTTTTGTGGAGTTGTTAGGCCAGTGGTGGATTCTAAACAGACAATTATTCAAAGATTGGAGTCTGATGTTTTTTGTGGAGTTATTAGGCCAGTGGTGGGTTCTAAAACAGACAATTATTCAAAGATTTGAGTCTGACGTTTTCTGTGGAACCTGAAAAATTAATGTAGCAGAGTTGTTGGGCCAGTGGTGGGTTCCAAAACAGAACTCTTCAACCCAACTTCTGATATTGTTAACAAGATACTAAACAAGGGTTTGAAGTTAACAAGTACCCACAGACCAAAACAAGCTCCTAGTCACACATTGTTACAGGTCCAATGGACTTTTGTTCTATGTAAACATTGTATTGAAAGCTGATGTCCATATATAGTGTAGGGTCTATAAAAAGTTTCTGAAGGGGTTTCATCTGAAATTAGCCTTACTGTTGTTTACAGAAATTTCTTAAAAATTACATTGTTTGGCAGTAGCATGTAATTATGGCAATAAGTTTTAGCACAATCTCTGTAGGAAGCAGTAATTACAAGGGTAGCATGGGAACTGGAACATTGATCTTATAAAGTTGATTAACGCTCAGCAGAGTAGACTTCAAGCAATTATGTAATTATTTAGAACAAAAACAACTGCACAGAGTTTATTGACATTGTATGCTGTACGATCCCAGTGTTGATTTTTCTCATAGCTCTGATTCCAGTGTTTGTTTGTAATATACCTAGGTTTTTCTGTTTCAGAATGGAGGATCTGTGTATATTTTTACTTATTTGTCAATCTTATTTAGTATCAAAAATGATATCTTAATTTTTGTTGGGAGGTGAATGAAAAGGTTAGCCAAAATTTTGATGTTTTTTTTAAATGCCAAAGTTGTTATACCAAAAGTTTTTCAGGGTTAATCAGTTAGTCAGAATGTGATGAAATATCAATATAGTTTAGAAATTTGTACAGATATTACAATTAGTTTGGTATGTTAAAATCTTAAGTTTCAGTTACTGATATCCAAAATGGTTTCAGAGCCAAAAATACAAGAAGAACCAAAACTTCCCAAAGAAATCTATATTGAATTTCGTCCACGCACAAATGCTGCTTGGCTTCATGTTCAAAGCCTAGCACAGAATCCTCGAGTTCGTACAAAAGTTAACCTGCAAAGGCGTTTATCAACTGTGATAGAATACTTGGAGAAAAAATGGAAACCACAAAGGCTCAAACAAGTATCCTTGTCAGAGGGTCATACAGTTGACCAAGTAGGGATATGTCTTTGAGAATCAGTTTTTTCACATTTCAATCTGTAAGAATTTATCAAGAAGAAAATTTGAACATAACTTAAAAATATACAAAGTCAAAATACTAATCAAGTAATACTTAGAGATGACCAAATATACATAAAAATGTTGTTTTTGTGAAATATTAGAAATAGGATCGTCATTCTCCATACATATATTGTTTTTAGAAAACATGTTCATAAGACATTTATTTAGATATAATTTAGAGATGAAAAATTAAACATTATTTCCCATCAAATGATGGGCATTCATCTTGTGCCTAAATAAAATTTAACCTTACGACTGTTCTCCAGCTAGCAGTTACTGTCTTGAAACGTGTTCAAATCCTTAGTTTATTTGTTTTATTAATTAAACATTCATTAACTTTTTTATCCTTGATTTCTAACTTGTTTGAAATTTTGTAACAATTTTAAAAGAGTCAAAGTTTCATACATAATACTGTACTTTGAAGAGAGGTGTGTTCAGAGAAACCTCAACAAATTGAATAATGTTCAAGTTGAACCTCATGCATTTTAAAACATTTTAATTACTTAGATGACAAGGCTGATCCTACTTTGTTAGGATTTTGTAAAACATGTGACAACTCGAATAACTTGACTACTTGGTGAACCTGTGGGCATTTTAAAGCATTTGTAATAACTCTGAGTGAGATGGATAGTTCCTAGCCTATAATTTTTGAGGTTGCTTAAACTTTTTTTTAATATGGTAGCATATTGTAATCATTAGAAGTTCTTGGAGTCGTATCTTTAACTTGATAATGTATTGTAACTATTACAAGTTCTTGGAGTCATACTTTTAATATGGTAGCATATTGTAATCATTAGAAGTTCTTGGAGTCGTATCTTTAACTTGATAATGTATTGTAACTATTGCAAGTTCTTGGAGTCATACTTTTAATAAGGTAACATACTGTAACCATTACAAGTACTTGGAGTCATACTTTTGATATGGTAACATATTGTAAGCATTAGAAGTTAATGAATTGTACTTTTAATATGGTAACATATTTTAATCATTAAAAGTTCTTGGGGTCATACTTTTAATGTGGTAACATTGTAATCATTACAAGTTATTGAGTTGTACTTTTATATGGTAACATTGTAATCATTAGAAGTTATTGAGTTGTACTTTTAATAAGGTAACATATTGTAATCATTAAATGTTCTTGGAGTCATACTTTTGATATGGTAACATACTGTAATCATTAAAAGTTCTTGGAGTCATACTTTTAATAAGGTAACATATTGTAATCATTAAATGTTCTTGGAGTCATACTTTTGATATGGTAACATATTGTAATCATTAGAAGTTCATGTAGTCTGACTGTTAATATGGCCAGTG